GCAGGAGTCACTTCTGCTTTGCCAGGCCCCCAGACACGGCTTGTCTGCAGCACTGCCTGAGCCCCTCTGCCTCTGCATCCCCTTCCTTTGCTTCAGGATGCTGGGTGCTGGTCTGAGCATGATGAGATCCGGCCAGGAGAGGCTTCAACTTGTCACTGGGGATGAGGCAACAAGCTGGAAATATGGCTGATTTTTCCCTTGCAGGATTCGATGTATGAAAAGATTGGAGCCTGCACAGATAAAGACCAGATGAACCATCTGCGGGAAGATAGACGTTTTCTAGAGAAATATCTTGAGAGGAGCAACAGAGAACCCATTCAGCAGGCCTCTATTAAGTGCCTGCAGGGAGTGGCCAGGGTCCGGCTATGCTTGGATAGGGCTGCAGAGCTGCTCTTTGAAACACACAGACCCAAAGGCAAGTTTGGTTATGCTGCCTTTGGCTGACAATGCTAACCTGTCAAAGGCTAAATCCAGGCCCATCAGATGGACTTGCTGGACATGGTCCATATCTCTCTGTCCCTGGGCCTCATGCCAGTATGCATACTGGGAAATGACCAGCCTGCCCGCTTTTTCTTTTCCTCTTGTACAGCTTTCGGTTGGGTTCCTGTCTTTGGTTTAGAAGCTGCACTAGTTCGGTATCTGTCCCTTTACCATTCAGTTCCCTGGAGTGTCGGTACCAACACTTGGCAGTGAACTGGTGTGTAAATCTACCCTGCACTAAGGGTCTGTGCTGATCATGCTGCTGCTCACTAACAGTTCTTAAGTGTGCTTCAGTCTGCTTCCATTGCAAAGGGGGGTAGATCAAAATGCAGCCTGGAATTCTTAGTGCTTGGCAGAAAGGGTCCAGATGGGCCCCTAGCTTGGGGTAGGATTGTACCTCAGGTTGCTGCAAATGAACTGTTCATGTAGACAAGCACTTAGCAGAAGCCAGCTCATATTGAGTAGGGAAACCTGTACCATGAGGCCTGCGGAGGATAGAAGCCTGGGCTTTCAAATGGAGACTTAGCACTGTCAATGGAATTATGAATGAAGCTTAACTGAAGTCACGAAACTGCAGCTCCTCTGGTCTCTTCCTATCTCCACTGGAGTTTTGCCATCTAGTTTTGCCATAAATTTTTCAAAAGTGCCCAGGTTTTCTTTTCAGAAGTGATCTGGGCCCTGCAGAGCCAAGTCAGTAGACATCAGACCTCTAACTCTGTTAGCTGCTTTTAAAAATGCTACTCTTAGTATAAAGCAGGGGTGGGCAATAAACAGCCTGCAGGCCAGATGCAGTTTGCCCCTGGCCTGCCGCCAGACACTGTATTTATCTGCAGGTCTAGAAGTACAGCCGCTTGCTGCTCCTGTTGGCCATAGATCACTGTTCCCGGCTAACGGGAGCTGATGTAGGCTGTGTTCCGGTGCACACCGCTTCTGACGGCTCCCGTTGGCTGGGAACAGCAATCCGCAGCCAACGGGAGCTGCAAGTGGCTATACCTGCGGATGTGCACATAATTATAGGGTCTGGCAGCCTGCATCCAAGTGCTTCTCCTCCCTTCCTGGTCTAAAAGCTTTGCAAACCATGTGCTCTTCATCAGAGAAATGCTCATATCAAGATTTTTCTAGCAGCATGATATGGGCACCATGATCCCTGGATTTTCCTAGGTAAGAACATCTGAGAAGGCAACACTAATAAGATATCATGAATCATACATCAGATCAGTGAAACGGAGTCCAATGCTATGGCCAGTTCCCACAGCGACAGCTGGCCAAGAGAAGAAATGCTGACTGACTTTTATTCTTGCTACAGAGCAGTGGAAGACTCTGGAAAAGCAGCAATACCTTCAGCAAATGACGCGGTTCTGTAGGCTGACTGGGAATGACTGGTACCGAGTTTACCTGGTCCGAAAACTGACTAACCAGTATGGGATGGAGTTTGCTCAAAAGCTTTCTGAAGAGAGTCAGTTTCATTGGGTATTCCCACCAGAAATCATTCAACAACAGGTAAATCCCATGATTCACCTTTCCTTAACAATTTGTGGATGCTGTTGCCTCCTCTTGGCATTTTTTTCATAGAACACTAGAACTGGAAGGGACCTTGAGAGGTCATCAAGTCCAGTTCTCTGCCCTCACGGCAGGACCAAGCACCGTTTAGACCATCCCTGACAAGTGTTTATCTAACCTGCTCTTAAATATCTCCAAGGATGAAGATTCCACAACCTCTCTGGGCAATTTATTCCAGTGCTTAACCCCCCTGACAGGAAGTTTTTCCTAATGTCCAACCTAAACCTCCCTTGTTGCAATTTAAGCCCATTGCTTCTTATCCTATCCTCAGAGGTCAAGGAGAACAATTTTTCTCCCTCCTCTTTGAAACTCCCTTTTAAGTACTTTTTTGGTATCTGCATTTGCTTATGTGTCTTCTGAGGGTGTGCAGCTCTCTGGTATTGTGATGAGGGACTGGAGCAGGTGGGAGTGGGAGTAATTTACTCACCATGGTATCCTTGCCTTCCCTAGACAGGAATTTCTTCTGACCTGAAGAAAGACCATTATTTTGCCTGTGTCAAAACCTGTCTCCCACTGCAGCAACATTCCTAGCAGAACCAACCTCCCTGTCTGATTAGCAGCCTGGAAGTGTCATGACCAAGCAATCACCTTGGTTGGGAAGTCTGAGCCCTTCTCCCAGCATATAACACTGAAGTTAGCCATGTCCCCCAACGGACTACGTGTCTAGAGAACAGTTTCCATCTTGCAAACTGACATTCTTGAAGTCTGCCAGTAATCTCACTGTATGTGGGGGGGTTGTTTGTCCTTTGTGGCTGCAGAGGGACCAACCTAGTCAGATTGATCGGTACTTGGCGTGTGGCGAGAGCTACAGAGCGCTGCGTGATGCCGTGGGAAAAGCAATGATTGAGGGCCAAGTGAAGGGCATCACAGAAGCACAGAAGGTAAGACATGTCTCTCCAGTCAGCACAGCTGCTTCTCTTTGGCTGTGACTGACACTGATCGTTTTGAGAGGTTTGTAGGAAGCAAGTATTTTAGCTCCTATAACTTTGTTGTTAGCCTCTCCCTCCCCTTTCTCCCAGGCCTCTGAGATTTGTCTTAGCTCGCTGTTACTCTGATGGCTTCTAACTGGACCCGATCTGTATTCTGTGGCCCATACGCTTGCCCATTGTAGGTGAGATTTGGATTATTGTCTCTCCTTTCCAGTGCTGTGTTTCTCAGCGAATGCTGGGCAGGAGCAATGTGACTAGCTGTTCCCTTTGCCTATCACCTTCTGTGGCAATGGGGGAGCTCTGTAGGTCAGGAAGGGGAGAAATACACATTTCTGTTGCTGAGTGAAGACTGCAGGGGCAGCAGAGGTAGCTCCTTATTCTCTGCATAACCAGTTTCTCTTGCTTTTCAGGCATGTAAGAGCTCTGAGTCTGCACAAGCCGTTCACCTGCTCTTGGCTATTTTCAGGGAAGTCACTGCTCTGTATGGATGCAGAAACACAAGCTTCCACCCCAAAGAGGAGGTGAGACCCCTTTTTCCATTGGCAACTTGTAGGCTGTCAGGAAGTAGACTTGTTTCATTCCCAGAGAAGGTGATTTAGGTCACTGATTCGAGAGAACAGCCCAGAATGCAGTTCTGAGAGCTTCTGGCAGAGGTTAGCTCAAGAGAAATCTGAGCATCTTCTGAAGACGGGATCTCCACCCAAGCTAACATAGGGCTCTATCAGACCCTATTTATTGTAGTATCTGAGCACTTCACAGCCTTTATTCTCCCTGTGAAGTAGGGAAGTACTATAGTTACAGGGAAGGAATAGAGTCTAAGGCCACATATATACTTACTGGTGGATCAACACTCCAGAAATTGATCTTCTGGCATTCAATTTAGCAGGTCTAGTAAGGACCCACTAAATTGAATGCTGAGGGTGCCTCTGTCGGCACCAGTACTCCTTCTCGCAAGGAGAAAGGGAAGTCGATGGGAGTGTTTCTCCCGTTGACCTCTCACTATGGGAACAGTGCTGGGAAGTCGATGGGAGTGTTTCTCCCGTTGACCTCTATGGGAACAGTGCCAAAGTTAGAATCAAGCTAAATCGACTCCAGCTATGCAATTAAAGTATTCTTAAGTTGAACTTATTCCCTTATGTAAACCTGGCCTTACTGGCTTGCCCAAGGTGTCACGAAATCTGTTAGAACAGGGAGTTGAAATCCTGGTCTCCCACCTTGCAGGGAATTGTCCTAGTGTAGCCATAGGACCATCCTTCCCCTCCATAGCCTGAAGGACTAGCTCCAGTAAATAGTCGGTTACTTCAAGGCATGCCAGAGAGTCACAATTCACTAGATGGTGCATAAAGAGCTGCTGAGCCTTTTGTCTGGCTGGCAATGATGTATTTTATTTTTCTATTTGTAAATGTTTGCCTTCAGCAATGTGATGCTATGAACAAGTTCATCCAAAGCTCCGAAGCCCTCAATTCTCCAGCCCTGAAGCTGTTCGCAGCATCTCTTGTGACAAACAGTCTCCCATCACTGACAGTGAATTCCCAACACTTCAGCCGTACTGGGGCATTGATCGAAATAGTGGTTCACACTGCGGCTCTCTTACGGTGCGGACAGAACCGAATCCTCGCACCTCTGAGGAACCTGGCCTTCTCTCCTTCCACCATGCAGGTAAGGATGCTGGTCTAGCCAGAGCTTTCCCTGGTATCCTATATCAGAACCTATCTCATAGAGCTGGAGGGGACCTTGAGAGGTCATCAAGTCCAGTCCCCTGCCCTTATGGCAGGACCAAGTACCATCCCTGACAGATTTGTCCCAGATCCTAAGTGGCCCCCTCAAGGACTGAACTCACAACCCTGGGTTTAGCATACCAATGCTCAAACCACTGAGCTATCCCTCTCCCCTGAAACCAGGGCTCGGATTCAGCCAGCCCATACTAGTACTGGCTGAATCAGTGCTGGCAACGCTTTCATGCTGCCACCTTCCTCTCCAGAACCTGAGGCTAGTACTGGCTGAATCAGTGCTGGCAACTCTTTCATGCTGCCATCTTCCTCTCCAGAACCTGAAGCTGTTGTTGAGAGGTGGTTGAGATTTTCCCAATTTCAAGTTTTTTAATTCTAACTGATTCAGAGACTTCTTCTAGTGGATCAATAGCATCACTAACTGGAATACCCACTTGGATGATTATTTCACAGCTTATCCAAAGCATGTAGGAAAGGCGTGAGAGGGACACTCGGAAGATCTGCACAATGTAGTATGAGTGGCAGGTCAGGGCCCCATGAGTGGGCAGGCTTGGGAGTGTGCGCCAGATTTTCCTCACCTATAATCAAGAAGGGTTTAAGGAGCCTCGTAGTGTTCAATAATGTACCTAAGGGAAGCTAAGCTCAAGAAACCCAGAGAACATGCATGATCATATTGTCATCACTTGCCCTGTCTATGGGAGTGAGGTCTCACAAGTGGACCTTAGTTTGTGGGCACTTGGAAAAGTAACACCACCTTTATTTTAACTCCAGTGAGAATTCCTGGCCTGGGAAGACTGGCCAGGATTCTCACTGTAGCCTGTCCTGGTCTTTAATTAACAACATAAGAACAGCCAGACTGTGTCAGACCAAGAGTCTTTCTAGCCCAGCGTCCTGTCTTCTCTTAATGGCCAATGCCAGGTGACCCAGAGGGAATGAACAGAACAGCTAATCACCAAATGATCCATCAAGTGAGGCACTTATCAGATCTATATTGCAGAGATGGATTTAGTGAGTCTAGTAAAGAGCCACTAAATGAGTCGCTGATCGTGTTTCCATCGACTCTGGTACTCCACCTTATTGAGAAGAGTAAGGGGAGTCAACAGGGGAGTTTCTCCCATTGACCCCTCCCCACAGAGTGGAGACACCGTATTAGCTTGAACTAAGGTACGTAGCTGGACTTGCATACCTTAGTTCAATATTGCTCCTTAGTGTAGACCTAACCTGATTCATCAAGAGATTAGCTGAAGAGTTTACATTGAGTCGTGACCCCTTCCCTGTTCAGGGCTGAAACTGTTGCTTCCTCAGTGACACATCCTGTTCAAATGCAAAGTTTTCTTACTGTTGAGTAGAATTCACCACTTCTTTTGCATTTGCTTCTCCCTTTCTCTTCATTTCCTTGGGCTCAGCATTTGACAATCTGCCACAACCTTAAAGTTCTCTCCTGTGTAATTTAACTAGAAACTAGGTGTGTTGTCGAGCTATCACTGTAGGAATGTGTTTATTCATGTCAATGTTTGTTGTAGCTTTCTTTTCTGCCCACGATGCCTGAAGACCTGATGATTCAGGCTGTGAATTGGGAAGGAATGAAGCAGCTGCACTGGTATTGTGAGTATCCCTGAGTGGATTTGGCAGCAGTGTAGGAAGAGCCATTGTTTGAGAATAACTGGTCCAATAAGTCAAGTTCAGTTAGATTCCCATGAAGCAGGAGTTGAGTATTATTTATGCAGTGCCTATGAGCAATTGCATCTAATTTTTCATGCTTCTAAAACCCAGTAGGTATAAGGTGGCAAAGTCTTCCAGGGTTTTTCTCTGTAGTTGTTTTTATAAGACACATTCAACATGGATAGAAGCCAGAGGTCATTCTGTGTGTGGGCAGCCCATACAAATCCTGTGTGCTCCAAGCGTCTTAGTTATTTCCCCTAGAGCTAGATCGTGAAGCATATTTCTTACTTGCAAGGGGGGTGCATGTGTGCATGCAAGAGAAATGCTTGGGTTTTCTTTGTTTTAAAAAGGCACCTCTGTCCTGCTCACAATACCAAGCTGTTGATTTCTTTGTCTCACAGTGTGTCCAAATGGCCATCCCTGCACTATTGGAGAGGTAAGCATTTGGGCTTGAGGGGAGTTTTATTTCTTGGGCTATTTTTTAAAAAGCTGTCTATGCTATATTTTATTTGCTGTTTAATGATATCCCAAAGTGAAATAGAAGCAAGCAAGCTGTAGGATCAATCATTACCACACTGCATTATGAATCTTGGAATAGCTGCTGTGTAACAGACTATTTCAGCGAGTAACTGCTTTCTAATTAACAAGTTGCATGGTTGCGTTCCAGTGTCTTGAAGTTGCTTCTCTGTTCTTAAGCCTGTAAAATGTCCCACTCCCCTTGTTTAAAACTGTTGTCTTTGACTGATATGACAGTATCCTGTACTATTCTGAACCTTATTGAATTGAATTGTATGTCTTTGGAGTCCACTGTATTAAACATGACAGTGTGTTAGTGAGGGGTTGTATGCATTTCCATGTGAAGGGCAGGGGGTAATTAGGCAACATGACTCAGATTGTAACATCCCCAGAGAAACACTATTCACTGGAGCGATTTGCATCTCCTTGTTCAAATTGGAGTCTCTTGGGACCAGCAGACAAAGAAAAGAGGTTTGGATAAATGCCTGGTTCTAAACTGGCTCAGGGCTTCCTTTCCAATCCAACAAACAGACAGGGCTTCTGGTCCAAGGGGGCCCCAGTTCTTAGGAAAGGGTTGGAGGAGGGACTTTGACCTATGGAGGCCCCATCAAACTGAGTGGCTGCGGTGAGCTGAAGCTGTGATGCCCTTTTGACTGCAGGGAACAACCCTGTGTGGGATTTGAAGGGCTAAATCGTCGGAACAACCCTGTGTGGGATTTGAAGGGCTAAATAGTCAGTTAGTCTTTGTTGAAGTGAGGAGATGATCTCTGGTTAGCTTATTAGCATGTGTGTGGGTGCTTCTGTTTTTAATATATTTCTATGTAATGCTTTCTATTTTAAGAATACATTTACTTGCTTAGAAACAGTGTGTGGTAACTTTGATAACTGGCAACCACCCTGCATACTGAGGAAAAAATCAAGGAAGCTTGTTTAGACTGTTTGTCTTGCTGGGAAAATCACGTTATAGCTCTGGAACTTTTCTGACCAGGGTATTTCCAGGCAGCAGGGCAAGAAACATGTCTCCACTCAGGAGAGGTGATAGCTGGGGAGGCCAGAAAGCTGAGAGTGGGTGCCCTTGCTGTACAACTGTGGGGAACTACAAGAGCAGTTGCCTAGAACCATGGCATCTCACTTTCACAGCTGTACCTGTGTAAAAGTGATGATCCACATCAGCCAGGTACCACTTTGCATAAGGACTGGACTTAGAACTAAGCAGTGCCAAGACTGTGTCCCAACGTCTGATTTAGGTCTATTTTTCTGTCAGAGATGCTGCTCTTTTGCGTCTGTCTGGAATTCATTTGTCTGTGTCCCTTTTCCCTTTGCCAGTGTGGTCGTCCCATGCAACAGAGCCGGTGTGTTGATTGTGGTGCTCTGATCGGAGGTTTACAACACATTCCAGTCACTGGCTTTCAGGGAGTCCGGTATGTTTTAACTACTTTAACTTTTCCGAAACGATGAGGAGTCCTGTGGCACCTTATAGACTAACTGAAGTGTAGGAGCATAAGCTTTCGTGGGCAAAGACCCACTTCGTCAGATTCAGACTAACACGGCTACCCCTCTGATATTTAACACTGAATCAACGTTCTCTTGAAAACTTATACTAGCACAGACAGTTGTTCCACCAGTAGTGAAGAGGTTAATCTGGCCGCAGGGACCCCTCTACCTCTAGTTCTGCCCCGATCACCTGAAAGCAAGGGCTTGTCAGTCTAGTGTTCTTATGCTTTTCATGTTGAGTCACCCTCAGCTGGTCTGTTACTGTCTTTCCTGTACAGTTCTTATCAGCTGAATTTTCTCTGGGAGCCTTTGGTTGACATCCTACCACCTGACCAGTGTGCATAAAGCATGTGGTCTGCTAGAATGCTCCCGGGCAGGGGTGAGCAAAATATGACCTGGATGCAGCCCGCCATACATTTCCCCCCAGACCACCATGACCCTCCAGGCTGGGGCTGATAGAAAATGTCCCACAGCCCAGGGAGCACTCACGCAGTCAGCCTGCCTGTCACAGGCCCCAGCCACACTCCTCTGGAAGCACCACAGCTGGAGGCTGCTGGCAAGTATGACTCTGTGCGCCTCTTAAGGTTGGGGGCAATAAATCTCCGCGTGCTGCCCATGCCCGCAAGCACCGCCCTGCAGCTCCCATTGGCCAGAAACACTTTACAGACCTGATATGTTCATTTGATGATCATTAGTGCTAACAGCAGCAATTTCTGACCTGCCTAGCACACAGTGGCTAATACTGACTCTTAGCTAACAGTGGCTGCATGGTACTGTTACTGGATCATCTTAATACAAAATACATTTTTAGGGTATGATGCCTTACAGAGTGGGAGCTACCAGCTAACAAGGGAAGTGACTCAGACTATCATAGGGTATGTCTAGACTACAGAGTTTTGTCGACAGAAGTTTTGTCAACAGATACTGTCGACAAAGCTTCTGTCGACAAAGAGCGTCTAGACTACATCCAGGTCTGTCGACAAAGCAAGCCACTTTGTCGACATAACAGTGTGGACGCAAAGGACAGTGTAGATGCAATAATGCCTTCTATCGACAGAACTCTGTCGACAAAAGGCGTTATTCCTCGTAGAATGAGGTTTACATACGTCGACAAAACTGCTGAGTTTTGTCGACGTTATGTCGACATAACTCAAAGGCAGTGTGGACGCAGGTATAGTTTTGTCGACAAAAGTCCACATTTGTCAACAAAACCCTGTAGTCTAGACACACCCATAGTGTGAAAGTCACCTCTAGTGATCAACTTTCTCACCACCTTCCCAGTGCAGCATGATTACATTGCAGCATGATGTCAATAGCAGCAAGAGATAGAAAAGATCCTATTTATGTTCCAACCCATCTCTCTTGCTTTTTTTCATATCAAGTCAGAGAACTCACTGTGTACCATTTTATACAGGCAGTTCACAGACAGAACTCAAACTGGCCATGTGCTCGGGGATCCCAGAAACAGAGAAGCAATGGTAGTATCTGAGAGGGAGATGTCCCCCGTTGTCTTCATTGTGATTCGCTTGCTCACGCACTTGGCAATGCTGCTGGGAGCCACAAATGAGCCGCAGGTAATGGAAGCCATCCTCGTTGTCTGGATAGAATAACTTCCAGCGTGGAATTGCGGGAAGACCCCCTGCTCATACAGTCAGTGCTGTAAAAAGCCTCCGGGCTTCCTCCCAGTGTTTCCAGAGGAGCTGTTAATAGTGGATGTCAAGAAGCTGCTGTTGTAGGCGCAGACCCTTAAGCCCTCTCTAATTTGTACGAATGAAAATAATTAAATTCACAAATGCATCCAGTGGTAAAACACACGTTTCAAAACTATGTGCATCTTCCAAATATGGTGTGCCTGGTATGTTTCAGTGACACATGGGAGTTAAGGAGAAGGATTTTCCCTTTGTTCCCCAAAGAGAGGTGAAAGCAAGTATGTTCTACACAACAGTGTCGAATTATAATGGAGGCTGAGGCAGAAACACATCGTAAGGGCAGCTTTGTCTTCCCCAAGTTTGCAGTAAGGATGTTGGTTAACCAGTTACGTGGTAATCATTAACCTTACTGGCATGCTTATCTGGTAACTGGTTAACCAAAGGGCCAGGTGGGGAGCACAGCTCCCCTTCCGCTGTGCAGCCTAGCTGGCAGGACCCCAGCTGGCCAGAGCAGCCTCATCATCTGCAGAAGGCCAGGCTGGAGGAGCCTCTGCCACAGTGGGCTGTCTGGAACCTGCTTAGCTAGCTAAACGATGATAATTATATTGTTTAACTGGTTAACTTTTTAAAGGGGCATTTACATCCTTTGTTTGCATGAATAAATGACTGAACCTCACTTGTGTAGATAACTGCACGTGGTCCTCTCCCGGGGTAGGTCTTCTCTAAGATGTATTTAAGACTCCCCAAGATGCTGGGTTGTGACTTTACATGCATCAGGCTGGAGTGTCCACTGCTTGCTCTCACCTTGCCTTACTTTTGTTGTTCTTCAAGTCTTTGCCAAGGATCATAAAGCCACCAGTGCAGGAGCCAGTAGGGTTTCTCTGGCAGCATATTGAGAAGGACCAGA